GGAAATCTGTAGATGATACCACTATCTCCGAAACAGTCGCGAAGGGGGCCTTAGCAACGCCCAATGTACTACAGATCGAGTAGTACAATGTTCATTAGAAAACAGGGTTCAGCTGAACACTGATAAGTGTAAAGAAATGTGAATATCCTTTATAAAATCCCAGCAAGAAATTGAGCCCATTATTATTAACGGCGATGCTTTAGAAGTAGACAGTGTAAAGCTATTGGGTCTCAATATTTCCAATGATCTAATTTGACCTGGAATATTCATATTAATGAAATTGTTAAGAAGGCCTCTAAGAGAATTCATTTCTTGGTGCAACTTAAGATAGCTAAGGTTTTTCGAACTGATTTAGGGCTCTTCTACTGTAGTTGTATTAGATCACTTATGGACTTTGCAGTCCGGCCTGTCACTTCAGTTTACCTTATTTAATATTTACTGCAAGAGTTGGAAAGTATACAGAAGAGAGGAATGTCCATTATCTGCCCCGGTGTAAGCTATCATGAGGCTGTTGTTATTATGAAATTTAAAGAATTAGCATCCACTATGACGAAATATGTGAATCAATTTTTTACACAATTGTAAATGACAACAATCACCGCCTTTATAAGTTATTAGCTACACCAAAGGAATCTACTTATTCATTAAGGCGCGCGCGACCTTTTAACATGCCGCCTTTTAAAACCGACCCTTTTAAGAATAGCTTTATTATCTTTTCTTGCCTTAAAGCAAGTAACTTATAGGTGAGAGTTTTTGAACTTCGTATTTCGATAACCTTTTTAGCGTCTCATCTCCTGTTTGCTTTTTTTTTCTTTTATTTAAGATAGATTAGTTTATGATTTCGATCTAATTTAGTTATCTGTAACGTAAATACACAATTCAGTTTTTGAACTGCCATGTATTTATCAATTAATAAACTTCAAACCTCAAACTTCAAACTTCTCTAGAGTTTCCAATTCAAGTCGTATTTTCAAGGCTATGACATTATATCTTGAATTAAGCCGAATGTACATTTCCTATTATTATTCATAGTTGTTTTTTCGTCCGGGCAACACTCTAAAATATCTTAGGGGATAGTCTTGATAAATGTAACGATTGACCTTGAATTTTAGTTAAAAAAAAGCCTGGGAGTGCAAAGTTTACGAAGGCTTAGCTGTTTGATAATTTATGCCATCATTATCAAAACACCAACAGTTTTGCAACTCACTATTTTCACCCAATAGATAGTGGGTTCAGCCAATTAGGTTGTTGGATTTGTGATGGGACGCTATGATCGGAGACAAAAAAAGGGCCGTTTGACAAAAATTGGCGATTGCTCCCTTATTTACCTTCTCCACACTGTTCAAACAGTTTATATTGGGCTATACTGCTACATTTGAACAGAGCGATCGTGAATTTTCTTTTTATTATTTTTATTGTTCCTGACTGTAGCTGGTTTCTATCAAAATATCCTGCTATGAACCTTCAAAGGTTTGGAAAGATAAAGCACAGAGCTCGAAGGAAGACCTTGATATGGGAGTATCAGAGATAAATAAATGTCCAGTATGCAGCACCCAGTTCACCAGGAAGAAAAACCATCAGAGAGGTTGTCATGACTGCATTTGCAAGGAATGCAATGAAACCTTAGATAATTACCAAAAGAGGCATAAAGAAAAGACACATAAAGACAGCTATAAGTGTTATCATTGTCAAAAGACTTTTGCAGAGAAACGAAATCTTAGAAGACAAAAAGTCTCATGTTTAATTTACCCATCCAGCATAAGCCGATTTTGACTGGAGATGATTTGAAATTGCTTTTTGAGCAACGTGTGATACATAGTGAGTTTTTTTTTTTTAATTTTCAATATCAATTCTGAAATTGATTTTGGTCATTGTGCGATGCAATAAAAATACCATACCCCTTATGGGAGGGGTTTAGTGGGCTGGGGGACTGGGGTTCAAAGTGTCCAGGATTTTTCATGTAAACTATACTAAAAATTACGGGGTGGTGGGGAAGTCAAATCTAAACATCTTTCCAGTGGGAGGTATGGTTCTTCCTGGAATCACACTTAGAATTATTAGTTGGTTAAAGTTATTAGTTAATCCTAAGTCCCATGTAAATAGTTGTCTGAAAATTGTTGATTATTCAAAAAGGATATCAGCAAACAAAAAATAAATTAAAATTATAGGTATTTGAGACTGGCCAGAGTACCATACGGTATGGCATCGTATACATTTTCTGAACCTATGAAAAGACCTAGAAGTCCAGCTACATCATGTTACTGTTGAAACCAAATTTTTAATGATCACAATATTGTGGACAGTATGAAAAAAATCCTATTGACAATGAAATTGGCCTCTCCTTTGTCTTTAACTTGATTTAGATGCTATTCATCACTTCGTATTCTGAGATCCATTGCCCCAGGATATCTTTAATTATATCTTCGGTCAAAAAGTGCACTTTGAACTTTTCTCAATTCCCTGAGATCGCCTTAAGATAATAAAATGAATCATGTGATAGGGAAGCCAGAAAACTATACTGTGTAGTTTCAGTTGATTCAATTAATTTAAACTCTGAATCGATTTCTCTTACAATTAACGTTATTAGATCTTTGAGAAAACTAGTGCCGGGTTTGTCCGCCATTCGATTTGATTAAATCGCGATGGTTTGAAGGAAAGATAGTCACGCGGAATTTACACGAGCGCTTCATAGTGACGCTCTGATTGCCATCCCTGTCGTCTGAGAGTCGGGAACATCGGTTACATTCTTGGCATTGACCTTTCCTACGGCATCGAATGTTTTAAATGGCAACGACCCTTTACGAAAGGGAAATTTGCTTCGACGTAACGGCTTCTAAGTCCTGCTGGTCACTCAAAACTGAGGTTATGAAATTAATGACTGCAAGATTCTTTTAATCGAGCGTGGGAGTTTTTCCCAGACTCTCCCTTGGTGGCTCACTGCTGGCGAATTCAAATTCCATTCAACTCCCCTTTTAGTCAAGGTGGCTTGGAAATGAATTTTCGTACCTGAGACGCTTTGTTACACCTCTTTTGCAGGTCATCTGTTGATGAAATACTCTTGTGAACAGTTCCTGACTTGAGAACTCTAACTTCGAATGATAAAGTAGCCAGTTACGCTTAGCGAAATATACACAGCAACTCGTACGCGTCCAGATTCTTTGTGATGTAATAGCCACTACAATGATTTACAACCATCTATCCGGTATTGATTCAAAGTTATTGCTTCTTCAAAATCGAAAAAAAAAATTAACTACTCAACATGCACAAGGTGAGGGCATAGAGGGAAACTGCCTCATTGATACATGTCAGCGGTGCTTATAATTTGCCGCAAGTAAACTTGACGAGTCGTACAACACTACTTTGAGTTATGATTAAACTTTCTCTTATGAGCTCAGTAATAGGAGTTGATGTAGGTGTCTGATTCATTGATGCCCCTTGGATAAGATGATAAATACCGCTGAAGCCAAAAATACCATTGATTTTTTGACAATTCTTCTTTAAGGACAACGTCATCCATAGGAAAGCTGAGCAAGGATACGGCAATGTATCAATTTAAAGGAATTTTGCGATCAATAAAAAGCCATAAGATATGCTTCTAACTATTTAATTGCAGATATTAAATAGAGTGTGTGACATAACACCAAATACAGTTTTTTTCCTGATTTTTATATAGTACAGAAATAAACGCTAATACATCTAAATGATCTAACTCCATCCAGGTTTCAAATAAGAATTCAACTCCGTTTCACTACGTCAGAGCTGTGTCTGTCTACCAAAACGAATTCTTCTCAATATGCGTTCCTTCTTTTCTTGTACGAACCGAAACCACTTAAGAAAATTATATCTAAATTTACTTAATATAAAGACGGTTCTCTCCGTTTACCACAAAATCAATTAAAACTTAAAGCAAAGCAATAAATTTCAATAACAATGCAATCAATTTTTTTCAAATAGCAATGGCTCGAGAGTTAAACAAAGCAATATGAGAGCAAAATAAATGTGAACTAAAGGACATGCTACGGAATCAATAATATTAGTATGCGGGATACCTCAATGGCGATTAATACCACACAACTAATAAGCTAGCAAACAAAAAAAAAAATGACCAAATTTTAAATATCCTTGGTAGGATTCCATAACAGTTTTGTTACAAAAAAATTTACGGCGGAATGTTTTCACTTCAACAGCTCGCAAATTTAAAGTATGCACGGGCCGCTTCTCAAGTTTGTTTTGTTTTTTAATTGTTTGGATGTGATTTGATCTCTTCCTCTCCTGTTTTAATCAATTTAGGAAATTTAAGTGATATCTACTTAAATTCTTCTACTCTGAATCCAACTGAATTGATGAATTATTTGTATCTTTAAACAATGAACTTAATAACTTATTATCTGAAATTATTATCTCAATGATTATCAGAGAAAGACCTTCACTATATATCGCTGTCATCAACCATAGTTTAGCAACGAGAAGGGACAGAAAAGTACTTTAACGGCGGGCACTGGACCATTTTCCCAATCTTCTTTACAGCGACCTTCTTTGCAACTTCCTTACTCGGTCCTGCATCTTCATCGCCAAGATCTTCAATCCTGAAGTATTTTTCTTGTCTTAAGCTCCCAGATCAAGTAGTTCCTTATATGTCTGGGGTGGAAAGCAAGAAATGAGCGTTGTACACTTGCTGCACAGCACTATATTACTAAGACGTTAAGTTGAAAAGGGTAGTTATTTCCACGGCGTACTGAGAATCTCTGTGGTTCTAAGAGAGATTTATAAACTGCAAATGGTAAAATGCGTGTGGACGGCGAAATGAGCGTGACAACTAACATCAATGACCAGAGGTCTATATAGTCTTAGTTCAGCCGTTTACAGCGCGTATGGGAACAAAACCAATAACATCAAGCATTGCTCCCGAAATCAAAAGGTGTGAAAGTACTGAAAAATCTTAGAGGCTTCAAAATTCACAAAATGTTAGCAAGGTCTCAATTCTTAAAACAAACCTCTTCACGAATGTATTTGTCCATTCTTTGTCGCAGGTTTTCAAATGGAGGACGGAAGTCAGGGTTAAAATTCCAGCACCGTTTCATCATATCATGCCTGAAATTAAACAATGATGGTCAATTCTCAACTACGTTTTTGGCCGGGACTATGCGAAGAATTGCAAGAAGTTTCTTCTGCAGGAACCCTTTTAACGAAAATGATGGTTTAGGTTCGTTTTGGGTCATCAAACATATCTGCACTATTTCACTCGCTCTGATCTCGTCGAAGTACGTAGACATCGTAATCCAGAGCA